ACTGAGTTGTAGGCTTTCTTGTAGTCAATCCAGGCTGTGCTCAGATTGGTCTGTCTAGACCTTGAGTCTAGGGCAATTGCTCTATCTATGAGCAACTGGCGTTTTAAGCCTCTGGTGTTCCCAATGCCCTTCTGAGCTGTGCTCATGTACTGGCCCTTATGGTCCTGTAGCTTGGTGGCTATGATGCCTAACAGGACATACATACATACGTACAATATATTATTAGATATATTGATAGATAGATAGATAGATAGATAGATAGATAGATAGATAGATAGAGCAGTTTTTTCATCTCTGACTTAGGAAGGATGATAACTATTCTTTTTGAAATACCCACTGGATATTTTAAATAAATTTATTTAAATATACTCCCCCAAAAGATTTTGTTGAATTAACCTAGTTTCCAGATTATAAGATATGTATTTCTTATTCCTTAAAACTTGAGACAGTTGGTTTTGGAATATAGAATACTCCAATTTTCAATTATCCAAACTTACTGTCATGAATAGCTTTTATGAAAACACTTTCCAAATGCTGTGAAAACTACAGGAGTTTCAGTGGCCAAATCAAAGACTATAATAAAAATAAAACTGAATATATTGCCATCTATCTGTTTTATGTAAATTATATTCCTGTAATAATCTTATAAAATTCTTAAAATATCATTAGTAATTAACTGATTAAAAGTATCCCATTTTCTGATCATATTTTTTAAAAAAATTCCCACCTTCTTAATTTAAAAATTGAATTCTCAATTTTTCATGAGAATTCAAATAAAATGTTGATTTCTTGCCCAGTTGTGCCCAAAAATGTACATATATGTCTATGTAGTTTTTAAAAAATACAATCCAAACAATGCAAAGGGAAATAACAAAAAAATAATACTAACAAAATCTTAGGAATCAAGCATTCCACAAGAGTCTACTACCTGCATGAGCCAAAAGCTTGGAGAAGAGTCCATTTTAAGAACTTGTTTACATAAGGACAGAGTGGGGGCCACTTGGAGCAGGGGCAATTCAGAGTGGGATGCTATTCCAGATGTCAGGGGCTTGGCAGAGAAAGCCTGTTATATGGGTCCCTAGGGTTATGAAGTGACCCTGATTGATGGTACATGGAGCATGCTGAATCTACTAGATTATAGAGGATGAAACCTTGGGAGATAGGTAGTCCCTTGAATAACCAGTCATTATGCCATGAATTACTTTATAGGTAACAACTAGAACTTTAAATTGCACCTGGAAGCCAATTGGTAACCATTGTGTCTCCCTGAATTGTCTTTTGTGTTGGAAATATCACAGAATTCTTATTGTAATGGGAATCAAGTCTTTGTCAGGATTTCAAGGGTGCCAGCTGTTCAGTTGTATCCACAATGGTAGGTAGCCAAAATAATTTCCATTACAATATTTTATTGAAGTTAATAGATAGGCTCACGACATAGTTTGAAATCAAGAAAATTAAGACCACTTTTATCATACAGAAGCTATAATTTAAAAGAGAGATCCTAAGTGTTGGAGGTGTCTACAATGGGGGAGAGGGCCAAACTGGAAAGTACAACTGTAGATCAAAATCCCATCTGTTTCTATGTATGTTGACATCAAGCAATTGCATCCACTATTTTGACCCCTTTGGCACCTTCATTGCATATGTCCCTGCTAGATGTTTGACTATTCCACTAATTTCTTTTTAAAAAAATAACTTGTTATTTTGTTTAAAGTGCCTGAGAAGATTCAGCACAGGCAACACTCTCAAAGTATACATCAATCTTGTAGCCATATTCATTTTCACTAGATTAATTCTTCCCCACAATCTCTTTGGTAATCTCATCTATGTCTTAAGGTCCTCATTTATATGTGTTTTTGAGTCTGAATACTGGTTTCAGCTGAAAAAATTATTTTTCTAGAAATAAATTCCAAGATATTTAATAGAATCAGAACAATAAACAAACCTTAATTTCTTATATACCTCTATAGATACCTTGGCAAAATTCTAGATTTATTCCAGTTTATCGTATACCCAGAGTAACTGTACCCATATCTGCTGTATCAGATTCAACAAATCTGGATAAATATTATTGATAATAATTAAAAAGACCAGGATGTGATCTGCAGGTAACAACTTGTACTCAATTCCTGCTGCCTAATCACAAGTTACCAGATTGTCTTATAAAATACACCAACAGTTCCATAATGATTTGGGTATCCTCTGGTGTATTTCTTGTTGCCATTGCAATTTTTGAAAAGCTTTTCATTGATCTAAAATTATAGTTTCCATGGAGTGGAAAGCTAGCCAAACCAAACCATGTTATAATCACACAGTTACCTCTATCATTCCTAGCAAAGACAAGTGATGAGCTAGAACTAAGGTCTAGGCCCTTCCTTTAATACAGGGTAATATTGTTTTACAAAATCTTATTTTGTCCAGTGGAACTTACTCTCTAGTAACTGCCATAAGGATTGCAGCATAAAATTAATTTCAAATTTCAGACCCCTTTGTGCTCTTTTAGAGTGCTGTACTGAATTTTCAAGAGTTTTCTTGTGAATAAAAGTTCTCTTTTTTGTGAGGGAGGATAAAATAATTCATTTTTAAAATCCTGCATTGCCTCTTTAGGAACCTTTTCTTCTTTTGCAAAGCCATTTGTTACCAGATGTACTACAGTTTTCACATTATTTTTGTTATTGCAAGTAATGCATTATGGCATAATTCCAACCAATCAGTGAACACACTGTAAATAACAAGAAGCTTTATGTAGCCGAATAGTTCTGCACTAACTTTCAATATGGGATGGGGGAAGAAGAGAAATGTCTGCCTGGCAATTAAGCTCATGGTCAAGTTCTTGTTATGTTGCCATAATAATTGTATTCATTCATTACAAGAACTTTGCCCAAGATTTGCTCAATCTTGCCTAAGCTACACTTAGTTTATGACTGACTGTGACAGTGGTTGGTATATGGGTATGTGTATTTACTGAAAATGCAGATGTGTAAATCCATTCAAATACAAGAATACTTTCAATGGAGCAGGTGTTTGAATAGCACTTTTCTGGCTCAGCTAGAAAACTGAAGAGCAGGTGATTCTCTCATGGGCTTGATTGCTTCATTTCTATCCAAGAAGCGATTAGGGTGCAACAAAGCCTATATGGAAAAGAAAACAAATTAAGCAATATCTTGACAGTACCTTGAATTTGAAAAAATGAAATTAGGTATGTTTTTAAGGAAGATGAAGACTGGTGGGTCTTCATGCCATTGCTCCCCATGCTCCTTTGATAAGCAAAATGCCACCTGACCTCATAGCAGCCTTGAAGTAGATACCATGTCAATACTCGCTCCTAGAATATTTCTCGTTCCCAAAGATGCAGCTGAAAGGTGAAGCAAATTTGGTCCAAGTTGCACTCCATGATACAGTCAGAGTTTAATTTTGTTTTGGTCCTGAGAAAACCGAGGTAAAACCACCACTCCATAGCTTTATTATTTCAATAATAAGAGTAATAATAATACTAATAAGAACAACAACAAGAACTCCCAGATTGTCCTTGACCAACATAAAACATAATATTGCATCAGCTAATTCAGTAATTGATCTAGGTTGCAATGTCTGAAAGTACAATGACATCTCACCTGGGCAAAAGATTAAATAATCAGTATGTCTGACATTTCTATAGGACTACAGAGTGAACATTTTTTTGAGGCAGCAGTGGAACGACTCTCGTCTTGCCTACAGTGAATACCCCGATGACTCCTTGGATTTGGATCCATCAATGTTGGACTCTATTTGGAAACCCGATTTATTCTTTGCCAACGAGAAGGGTGCAAACTTCCACGATGTTACCACAGACAACAAGCTTCTAAGGATTTCCAAAAATGGGAAAGTGTTATATAGTATCAGGTAAACCTCTACAAGTGAATGTTGGGCATATGCTTGGTTTCTGAAAAATATGTCTTAGGTCACAGAATGGAATTTAAATGTTCAGTTGTTGTTGCTGTTTTATACCTTAATGAAGTTCGAACCCAACAGGATAGGAAAAAAACTCTCTGCTTTGGTTGGCTTTCCTCTTCTCCAATGAGAAAAAGCAGCAGCATCAAAAGCATCAAGGAATGATGAAATGTAAAAGCAGCTCATGCTGCTCTGAGCCAGCATTCCCATCTTCATCAGTTGGGAGTGCAGAAAGAGAAGAGCTTCCTTTTGTGTGACTTGCATTCAAGAGCAAAAGGAAAATGTGATTTTCCAAATGTCAGAGAAGCATTTGAAATAAAATGACCTGGCTTTGATTATCTGAACAGAAGAATTCGGATACATCCACTCCATATAAGTTTCACAGTTTTATGCACTTTAAATTGCAAAGCATAGTAATGGGTTGAACTAAGATGGTTCTCATTAGTATATCCTATTGTAATCATCACTCTTTTATCAGCTCTGATTAAGCCAGACCCAGAGAATCAGAATCAGGAAGACTTGAAAACAGCAAGGCCAAAACTCTTCTACGCTGCTGAAACACTTCTATGCTAATCACACAGTATTTCTGTGTAGGGATTTTAGAAACCTAAACTGTCTTCCAGCTAATCCCTATCAAAAGTCTCATGTTATTTTTATATTTTATGTTTTAAATAATTATATGTGTATATAACTATAATTTGCATTTTATTAAATATTAAATATTTTATTAAATAAACCCAGATCCAAAAATGCAATTAATTGGCTTTCTTTATGGGAAAAGTTAATGAAGTGCAAATGTGTTTATTCCATGTGATATTTGTTCATTGAGATATATCAGCAGCCCCAGAATGAATGGGCACCTGAATTCTCCACAGCACAAGTAAATGTGCTGTTATTTAGCAGTGCTATTTTCATGTGCTTAATCTGAAGGAAAACAGAATGCTCCTGTGTGCTTGACTGATGCCAGACACTTCTTACTAGAAGCAATGATGCAGTAGTGTGTTATCTGGAGTGCAGTTAGTTAATTTTTCTGACATTTGTGCATGCTGCAAAAATAATATTTCAGGCTGTCATATCCGATTTGTAAAATGTAGATGCTTGAATGAAAGTTAATAGGATAGAGTAAGTATAAATAATTGTTTGTTTTATGTCCAAAGCATGTCATCTCCCTGTTGTGTTCTATTGCCCATACATGCCTCTTTCATGGATAATCAGTGTGAAGGAGGCATATTGGAATCTATACCTATGAAATGTTTACTTTAAGAATTACTCAGTAAAAGCCAGTGGGATGGTATTTGTCTTCTTATTTCTTTTCAATGGATGCAAAACCATATGAAATAGCCTTCTACATCTCTCAGAATTTCCAGCACAACTGGAGGATGGCCCTTACAAATGGCCGATTACAACAGAGTCAGAGTCTTATCATGGTTCTTTGTCTTTTTTATTCTTTTCTCCTTCTTTGCTTCCTTGGCATTTGAAGCTCTGAAAATCCTGGCAGGATGGAAACTTAGTTAGTAGATTATGTATCTGTCTTAAATTTGCAGTAGATTCAAGATAATCAAAAGAAAGTTTATTGTCATGCCAGGCATAGCAAACATTTGGTTTTACTCTTAAAAAAACATGATTTTGGCAGAAAAATGGAAGGCCATATAAACAGGTAACAAAATTCTCCCCTATGCCAGAGCTTGGTATGAAAAACTCTGACCCAAAGAAGAAGGAGGTACACATTTGAAAGGCACATTTAAAACTAAATTTGTTAAGCTGATAATACTGTGTACTTCTGCTCTTCTCACCTTCTCTGTATGAGTTCTGCCCTCATTGCCAGATCTTACCCCACCGTGAGGCAATATTTGAAAGATGTTTTCATTTCCAAAGGTTTGGTCACAGCCTCAGACGTTTGTTCAGCCCTCATGTTTGTGAGGAGGAGTTGTCATCTCCAGTTTAATTCATTTTGCTCCTTCTAGACCTGAGGAATGAGAATTGTGTCTTTTCTATTGATCAAATAAACAACACTAGAATCAGGAATAGTTTTTTCTACTTCTTGCTTTCCTGAAACTTCTAGAAGAACTAACTTCAGTGAGTCAGGAAGAACTACAACATATACAGTCAGGCCATGGTAACTGAGTAACAATACTAAATTACAGGCATTCTTAGTCAATCAGCAACAATAATAACAATACACTAAAATCAGCACCCATAGAAGTACTGACATGGGACATTTATGGAAAATCTTTTTTCCCTACCAAGCGTAGACACTTCGTGAGTTCTGATTAATATATCTTATGTCTTTTGGGAAAAACGGAACTGGAAGCTAGTATTTGTTATTTTAATTTTAAAAAATACAAATATTATTACCTGTTTATACACAAGTGAAAAAGCGTAATAGGATTCGTTACAAAGAACCATGTTGGTCAATAAGTAATTAAAGTACAATTTACATAACACTATGTAATCAAATGATATAATTCAACAACTTGAAACACGAAAAAGAGAAAATAGCAGAAGAATGGCTATCTTGGCTACTTCAACAAAACAATCCTACCTTATATTATTGAATTAGGCCAGTGGTTTGCAAACACTTATCTCATGTAAAACAGCATTTCTCCCAGTTCTTATCTTCTACTTGATTCCTTACTTGTTTCTCAGTAAGGAAGCTCTAGTTTCTTCATATTTACAAGTTTAATATTACTCAGTTTCATAGAATTATGCCAATTATTTACTATTACCATGTAATCAAATAGCAATGCCCTACCTTACTTAAATATATTTTACAAGTGAGAACAAAATTTTCTAGTTGGAACCTTTCTTTGATCAAGCAGGGAACTTCCATTTCCATTTAAGCATGTGATTTGAAGTAATGATTATAGACCCAACATTAGTTATGATGATTGGTCCAAGAACAACATTAGTAGCCTCAAGGGCTTTGTCGGATCAGTACTGTTGAACATTGATAGCATGTTTTCTCTCTATTTTGATGTTTTTTTTTTCAAAATGGCAATATAGGTCTTCCTGTAGAGTTAAGATTAAGAATCAGATCTATTTTGTTTCATTGTCTTCCCCTCTGTAGTCTTCAGATTCTCCCCAAATGTTAACTACCACCCCCAACCACTGAACATTTTCTGACTCCTGAGTTGCAGGGAAGAAAAGTGAGGTTCCTTTCAATACTTTCCTGATGGAATAAACCAAACTTGAAGATCTTACATAAAAGTAGCAACAGATTATTTCCGAACAAGCATGGTGCTGGAGCTTTAAACTTCAGCTGATGCTGAGCTATTTACAATGGCCCACATTACAAAGGACATTGTCTGTTTTAAACCCAACTGAAATAATTGCCCTTAAATAGTTTGTATTTATTCTAGTGCATTTGACCAATAGAGTCTTTGTAAATTTGGCCTGTGTTGTTAACCTGAACAGGGAATCTTCAGAACTCCAGATAACATTCCTATGGTTTGTAACAGTATGTGGATTTGTATTTCACGTTGTGTATGTGCATGCAATGTGCACACACTTCAGTCGGAACTTTATTCTATAATCCAATGTTGTATTTAAGAGGATTTTGATTTTCCTGGTAAGAGTGCCTTATCCTGGGAGAGATTAGCAGTGAGAGTGCAAAGGTCATCCTCAAAACCAAATGTTAATCTTTGCTCTCCAAAGCCAGGACGGTATCCTTCCTCCCCTTCACACCGATACATTGGTTGTGCCCGGAAAACATTGAAAGGTTGTGGTTGTGTTATTTTGCTTTTTTAGAAAGACAAAGCATTGGATCTTGCACTCCCAAGGAAACTTTTTTTAAAAAGCACAGTGTAAGAAAAATGATTCAATTATCCTCAGGCAAAATTGTATGAAATTCTTGGCTATTTGAACTGACTTTTTAAAAATGTAAAGCTTTCCACTGAGGCTTGAAATAGCCTCCCAGAATAATGAAAGCAGACTTGAAGAATGAGAAAATATAGAACATGCTAATTGATGGAGAAAGTCTCCATAGAATTAAAGCAAGGATAGGATAGAATGAGGTGGGAGAGGATGGGATGGGATGGGGTAGGCAAGGCAAGGCAAGGCCTTACAGGTACATACACAGCTTGTTATATATTTGATTACTTATAGGAGGATGTGATTTACATCTGCATATGTGGCTCCTGTAACCCAGAGAAATATGTTTCCTTCCTCTGATGAGAATCTAGAACTCTACCATGCTCCACAGCACTGCAGCTTTAACTTTGTTAGATGCATCTTTGTGGAAGTTCTCTCATGCCGTAGAGCAGCAACACATTTTAGCAGCTGAAAGTAACACCTTCCCTTCGAAATCCAAAATGCTTCTGCTTTAAATCCATCCTGGTCCTGTGGCATTGCTTCATCTAATAAAAATGAGGATGCCATATTTAATTAAAAATGGGAGAAATGCTGGCAGAGCCTGTGTATAATTTTGTCTGTGGAGAGTAGTATTCTTGGCTGGAAAGATTTTAAAAATATTGGCAGTTTCTTATGGAAATCAGGACTAATAGGATTTTTGAGCATGTTTACTGGATGTGGGCCAAAGAACACATCTGTGTACATAAGAGTCTAACAGACAGTGGTTTCAGCTGGCATAAACCAGTAGTGACTTATGGCAATCTGTGAACTATGTGAAACATTTCTTTTGGCAATGCAGCACTAGCATAATGACACAGTTCAAAAAATAAATGTTCCTATGAGTCTGGTTTGTAAATGAGTGTCATTAGACTATGAAACCGAAGCATTTTTTTCTTCAGTCAGTGAGGGAGAGCAATAACAGTTTTGCTGGACTCTATTTGGAGAGCCTTTATTTATTTATTTATTTATTTATTTATTTATTTATTTAAGAATACTATGTTGAGTCCTGGGTGCTACACTTCAGTAAAGATAATAACAAATTGAAATGGTTCACACTAGAGCTACAAAGTTGTGAATGGGTCAGATCTTACGAGAACAGATAG